TCTTTTCCTGCAGTGCTGAAAAATGAATGAACTGTTATCTTATGCAGCAAGAAAAACAACATCCTTCTTTATTTTGTTTTGACATTGGAGTGCTTAAAAAGACATCTGTGTAGCCTTTATTTCATATTTTTATTTCTCTTAATTTTTTAAAAATTTCTCTTGAATATTCAATGTTTCTATTTCTTCTCTCCTTCTTGCTTCAGCTCACTGTTGAAGATGTCAGAAAGGGACAGCTGATGTGCACATATAGACCGTGCTTAGTTGTGTTTAGTATCATTGGGGAAATGCACACTCTTTTTTTGTAAGGCTTTTGACAAGGAACCATTCCCAGAAACACTCAAGATTTATGCCTGTGTAGAAAAGAAAGAGACAGGTTGCTCTATGCACGTTCCAATTTTCTTGTATTTTTTTTCACCTTTGCTTTAAGTAAATGGGTTTTCTGACAGATAACTCCACCCAGTGCTATTCAGATAATCTATGGTGGGACCATGACTTTATAGTAGAATACATGCTTTGCATATAGAAGGCCCTAGGTTCAGTTCCAGCATCTTCAGGTAGTACTGAATATCTTGAGAAATTGAAGATGGAGAAGTGGTCAGATTTATTATATTGCAGCTTCCTCTATGAAGTTGAAGCTATTTGAACCAGTTGAACTAGTGAATTGCTGAGCACATTTATATCAAATTAGATTCTAGTCTGGACCACAGAAGCCACAATTCTCCTACATTTGTACTGGTTACTATAAATCCACAGGATAAAAATTGTATCAGAATATTTCTGAAAATGGAAAGTGTAATTTTGGGGAGTATTGGCCTCTCCTTTGAGAAACAAGCATGAGGATGGCACACCTGGTCTACTCACAATGGAGCTAAAGGCATCCAGAAGCAGACCGCAATTTCATACCTGATTAGTGCCAAAATATCATGCTTTTCTTTCTCTTTCCCCCTCCCCTTCACTGTTTAATCTTATAGGCTGGCCAGCTATTACAAAGGACTGGGATGAAACACTCCAATGACAATAACAGAGGAAATGTATCGCAATACATTTCAGCAATAACTTCATTATGGTCCAATGCTCCATGTTGAGATAGTTTTGTCTTTAATTAATCAGTCTTCTTCCCCAATCTTTTAAATTTTTTTAATTAAAGATTTTTTTTCATAAGTAAAATACAAATCTAATAAAGAAAAAAGAGAAGAAGGAAAGGGAAAAGGTATCTTTTCAACAGATATTAACAAACCCATCATCTCCCCTTCCTCTTAACTATTCCAGAAATTCAGTCTTCTTCCCCAATCTGGTGACTTCCAAATATGTTGGACTGCAATCCATCCTCTATACTAGGTTGGGGAACTTGAATTATGGGTTCCATGTGAAGGGAATTAAAAAACACTATGTCTTCTATTTAATCACCTCAGCAAGTTACTTTGTGTGTGTGTGTGTGTGTGTGTGTGTGTGTGTGTACCCTCTTGTGTATATGATATACTCTCTCTCTCTCTCTCTCTCTCCTCTCAAGGCAAATAGCAGTTTGGATAAACAATTAATTAGGAAATCGCTGGGTGAAGAAGGACAAAATCCCTTCCCTACCTCAGCATTGCAATCCCAGTCTGATTTAGAGGAAACAGCTAAAGCAGTTCTTATCTTTGAGGGTGGGGGAGGGAGAGAGAGAGAGAGGAGTCCTAATTTCATTTCCTGAGTTATAAGGAGTGGTGAAAATACTGCTTTTTTTAAATCTTTTTTTGGGGGGGGAGGTGGCACTAATATATCAGCTGATGCACAGCAAATGGGAAGCTTATCCTTCCCTGGCTACAGAAATGCTTCATTCCCACTTCAAAGACACACATCAATTGGCAATCCTACAGTTAGGATCTCCTCAATCCTTGAATCGAGCGCCCTTTCCCTCTAAGACCTGGAATAGCCCTCAAGTATTTATCAATTTTTCTAGCAATGGCAGGTCACCAGCTAGATAGGGAGCAAATTGTTAATGGCTTGAAGACTGCCGTTTTCTTCAGAATCAGAACTGTAGCATAATACCATTTCTTAGGGAGCTGTCTGAACAAGCATCTAGCCAGAGAAGATCTGGTGGACATTGTATACGTGGGTGCCTGAGCTATTCTATCTAAAGGCTTAGAAAGCTAAATCACCAGGATAGCTTCTTCTTTTCTCAGTGCTTCAAAAAGGAGAAACACGAGGGGTAGAAATATTGCAATATAACTCCTACCCGAAAATAAACTACCCTGAATAGAAGTAAATATGTATAGAACTGTGCTGCAAAATGACTGACAGGCAATATAACAAAGGATTATAAAATGATGCATGTTAGGATGAATGGGAGCAAGCTTTTCCTCATAATTATAAAACCATACCTTGGCAGGAAAGAAAGCATTTCCTCTCCTAACACCCAGTTAAATGGGTGGCATTCACTGCCAGCACACGCGCTGAGGGCTGCCTAGATGGCTGAGCCATAAAACCGGACTAAGCCAAATTGAGGTACTCCTGGCATCGTCCGAGAGCAGACTGGTTCGTATATATTCTGCTAGGCACCGTTTAACGCGGTGCCAATAAGCGACGTAACTTTCCCCACTTTGTGTCGCGCTCTTTCCTTCTCCAAACGCGTTTCCTCTCACTGAGCTATTTGGAGCTTTAGTAACACCCGGGTAGGTTCCTGCTTGCGTTACCGACGTAATCCTTATAATCCCGAACGCTTTAGCGAGAGAATAACGCTGGCACGCAGCCCTGTCCCCCGGTTCCGCGGGGTTTAACACGCACGGCTCGCTCTTGTCGGACTGCAGGGCGCGGGGTCACGGGGGACCTCTGGCGGCGGAACGCTTGCTCGTCTCCTCTGCCGCAGGAGGAAGTTCAGGAGTTCACGAGTCCGACCGAGAGAAGAAGGCAACTTTACTTATTTGGCTCAGTGCTACCACTTACCTAGTAATTTTAATTAAGTAGGACTAAACCTATTGCTTTAACCTTTAGCAGATCCATTAGTTCTCCACCTAACTCTGCTTTAAAGAACCCCAAGAAACTCCACACACGTGTCCTGAGCTCGGTGCGTTTGGACGAGGTTAAGACTTCTCTTACGGCGGCTCCTTTTGTTTTCCAGTTAGCACGATCTAGACACTTGCGCCTGTCCAAGCCATCATGTGGCTTGGTTGCTTTTTACTGAGCTTATTGTGTGAACCCAACTGTTATGGTTTATTAACCATGTTTTAAACCATAACTGGGTGCATACAACAACCCGATTTAAGAGCATGCAAGAATATAGTTTTGGTATGACATTCAGAATCTTAACACTGATCTGAGAATCGGGACATACTTCTAACTTTCTATCAAAATCTTTAGTGTGATTTTATGTTGCTTTCTTCCTTGTAACTTTTAAGAGGGATTTTCGACAGGTATGTTCTTTTCTACCGTTGCGTGAAAGGTTGTGTGGCTCAAACTAAATGATCTGAATGCATCATATTGACTCAATTGTTGGGTAAATATGCACAAGACCGGGTTGCCCAAAGGAGCAGAACATGTGTTCGTTTTTCCAGCTGGACAAAAATAAAGCGCTCCGAGAATGTCCGGAGTCCCCACGAAGGAGTCGCGCTTCCTTTTAGACTAAACATAGCTACCTCCATCAGAAGGTAAAGGCTAGTATCTCCAGTAAAAAAGATCGCTGAAGATCCCGCTTGAGGACAGTTGCCTGTCACGGTAACATGTGAATAAACCAAGGAAGGTTCGGGATAAAGCAACTTGGTAGACGTCAGGGCAGCAGTCCTGTGGGTGCACCACGGCAATATCATGCTGGAATCGCATCCTGGGCACCCGCGGGGGAGCAGATTCGAAAGCGCAGGACTGCCCGGTTTTAATGCGAACCTTCCCTCGGAACTGGCGCAGCCGGAGCACGGGCCCACGCGAGCCACGTTCGGGCGACGCTATGCTTTAAAACGTTCTACTCCTCCCCCGGGACAAAGGGAAGAGCCCAACATCTTCTCTCCCTCGCGTCTAGCGGTTTCAGTTATGTTACCCGGAAGAGGTTCCATTCTCTTCCGGGCCAGCGCAGCTTTGGAGGCGTTCTTGGCCTTCGAAGTACTCCGGGTTTGCGTCGCTTCGGTTCCTTCCGGGAGCTTCCTTTACAGACGGCGGCAACGATAACGGGCGCGCCTGCGCACTCTCCGTCCGCTTTCGACGTTAGCCCGCGGGGTCGCCTCCTGGCAGGTCAGTGGAAGTCGGGCGTCCGGGGGGTGCCACTTTGGTGCCCCCGGATGCGACCCTCCCGCTGCTCGGGAGGGGAAGCAGCCAGGCGGCCCGAAATTAAAGGAGGGGGCAGGCCCCTCCGGCGGCGCTTTTGATCTAGCCGTCTACAACCGGCGACGGGCAAGAAGCCTGCAGCTGCAGTTGCTGACAGTGAAAGAGCCGGGCGGGCATATCTGCGAGGTCCTGCGGAGACGTCCCTTTCCATGTTGTTGCGTTGCTACCCGTGTTTCTGATCCCGTGCCTGGTGTGGTCTAGAACTCGGGACGAGCGGCCCTTTCCGTCCTTGTTTCCTCTTGGGCAGTGTTTTCGTCTTGCGCTTCGTGACGTTGCCGCAACGCTTGTGCTCTGCGTGGCTTTTGCCTGGGTGCTGTGTTACGCGTCGGCCACTCGTGCAACGAAATTGTAACGACGGAGCTGGAACGAGAGAGCGAATTGTTTGCTCCTCAGTCGAGTATAAAGCGTGTGCGCTTATTATTTATCTTAGAAAACCTCCAGGGACGCTTACAAGGATAGTAGAAAAAAAAGAAGTAGCAGAGCTATCAGAGTCAGCGGCGGTTAATAAAATGCCTTGGAAAATACGAAATGTCTCAGTTTGGGGTGGGAAAGATCTTAGTGGGAAGGGTAGGTGTGACTTTCTGGGAAGGCCTCGGAGCTGATCTAAGTTTCTATTCCTGGAAATGTCTTTTAGCCTCACTTGGCAGGGACAATTGCTAGAGAATTTCTGAGGATGATTGGAGAGCATGGACAGGTCCATGTGGAAGGAGATGTCCCTTGAATGGACTCAAGCCATTCAAGGCTTTAATGGTCAACACCAACACTGGGGACTGAGAACAGAGGAAATGTTCTTGTTCTGTACCAAACTGACTCATCGTAGTTATATATAACAATCCTGGACTGAGAATTTTTAATGATTTCAGTATGAAGGTTTATTTGTGTTCTAGTGGAGCAGGAAAGAATATGTCAAAGGAAGGTGTTAAAATATTATTTAATCAGCAAAGACCAACTTTAAAATAATATTGCATAGAAAACAGAAACAAAATCCTAATGTATCTAGTTATCTGGAGGTTCATTATAAGTAGAATCTTATACATACACACATATAATCCCCATTATGTTCAGTGAGACTTCCAGATAAGTGAGTATGGAGTTGCATAGCCAGATAAGTAACAGATTTTTCCTAATTAATATGGGTTTAAATAAATTGATTGCAACATGCTGATTTCTTAACATACTCTCTATTAATTTCTTAACTATACTTTGCATACATAAAAATGTTAGTCACCTGAAGTTTTCATGTAAAGTCCTTCCAGCATGCTAGTATAGTAGTATTTGCAGGCATATCTTCTCCAACAACTGTTCATTAAACTGATGCCTGAATAATGTCGGTAAGAATCTAATATGGGCATAAGAATGTATGTTTTTCAAATCGGCAGTTGGAAAATACTGAATATAAATCTTATTTTTGTTCAGCATGTTCACCAAGTTGGTAAAGTCATTGCAGAAACTGCATTTACAAGAACATCCTGAAATATAGTTGACTGTAGAATTCATTGAATTCTCCTTTGAAGATTTTAAATGGGGGGGGGGAGTATGAAGTACAAACTTATTGCAATATCAGATCAAAGGATTAAATGCTTTCTTTTGGTCACTACCCATAAATGCAGTCAGAGCTTCCTCCTAGCACATACATACTGTGAAAAAATGTTATTTAATTTGGTAATGTGACAACTATCATAATTAAGGAGTTTCTTACAGTTCAAAGAATTTCTACTCTTTTCCTTTGTGAGACTTAATTCTCATACTTGCATTTTTTTAAAGGAGTAAATCTGATCATTGCAAAAACAAAGGACAGGTGGAAAAAGCCAGCCTGCTCAAGTAGTCCATTATGTAGGCCTTAAAAGAAAACAAAATGCAAGAGGTTTGAACTTTGTTTCTATAAATAGGACTATTTCTTGGAACAGTATACTATACAGTAGTTGCTGAAATTCTTTTGGTTAGCTTTGTGATTCCATTCTTTGATTGTGTGAGGCTTCACACACTGTATAGTGTATATTGGAGCTGGGTGGGGTTCTGTTTTTATTTTTATTCAATATATTTTAAAAACTCTGCCTATGTATTGCTGGGCTCATCTACCCCTCTAATATTACATTTTGAACTAAAATCCAAAGGATTGTTAACATAACTCTGATTATTTATGTTTGTTAAGGGTGCTTATATAATCTTAGACTGTTATGCAGATCTCTTGAGAATAGGGTATAGCCAGGATTAGAAGAACTATGCCTGACTTATATAATGCTTGATGTATATTCCTTCTTGCTTTTTGAACTGATTCTTTTTCAGCAGAAAAGAATGTGCCTGGGCCTTGGGGCCCAAGTGTGTGAAGGGACCCATCTCCTGGTGGTATTCGTGTTGTTGGCCGAAATATTTTCCTCGGCTGCTATGCATTTTAATTTTTGTATTTATGGCTGTAATTATTTTTATTTAATCTTGTTCGTTGCCCAGAGGTACTTATTGAGATGGGTGGCTATACAAACTGATTAAATAAATATAAATAAAGAATAAGGAAAAGTATTATATATAACATTTGCTAGATTTATATTCTGCCTTTCATTTAATAACTTAAGGCAGCATGTATACCACTCCCCCCTCATATATTTTTCTCCACAGCAACTTCCCAAAGGCACCAGATGAGCTTCTGAGGATGGATTAGAACATGGGTCTCCCTGGTTTCAGTCCAACACCTTAATTGTTGCACTTTAGTAGCATTCAAATGATCTGGTCAAATTTCCATGTTTAGTTTACACTGTATAGCCTTAACGGTTTTCCTCTCCCCCCCCCCAATTTATATTAAATATTTTGTTTTTACTAATATCTTGCCTAGATGGCTGCCTTGTAATGGCTGAAATTTGCTTATTTAGTTATTTATAGAATTGATATGCTACACAAATGAAAGATTCTGGGTGGCTACACATATATTATAATTTATTTGTTTTACAATATTTGTGTATTGCCATGTTCCAGTGAGACTTTTGGTAGTTTCTACAAAAACAATAAAAGCAATTAAAAACAACTAATAAAAACAAATTTAAAAACCCCAAGACAACCTTGTGCCTTTTTCTTTTTTGCCAAATGAAAAAAAATCACGTGAAATTTCAGAATAATATACAGTTGTAGTGGAAACTTCTTACTTGTAGGGTAGAAAGCTGGATGTCTCAAACCTCATATCCCAGTGCCCTGTTCTGCCTCCTGCTTTGGAATAGTGGCTTGGCAGTTCCTGCTTGCAACACCTGTCTTTTGGGCAGATCACCTGGTGCCCACCTACTAACTCTGGTGTGGGTGTGTGAGAGAGTGATCTCACACCCATACTGAATTTCTAGCAATCAAATGGTAAAACAGTAACCCCAAAGTAAATAATTTCAGTTGTGTAATCTGACTATGTAGCATAGAACTTCTGTCTAGATCAGTGTTTCTCAGCCTTGGCAGCTTGAAGATGTGTGGACTTCAGCTCCCAGAACTCCCC